GGACATATTTAGGCAGATTATTCGGCACTATTTACATATGTGGTTACGTAGTTTTCAAATTAAGCTACATGTAGCTTTAAGCCAGGTTAAAGCAGGCAGAATGTTGAGTTGCACTCAGACAGTTTTGTATGTTCAAACTTTTGTACATACTGGTATATATCATTTTAATAGTAAAATTCTATTTGATGAAAACCCAAATTTGCTTGCATTATTTGACTGAAAGCTAGGTTTTGTGCGTGACTAAATGTCATTATTTCACAATGAATCGTTTGGTATATCAGGAATGTGTAATACACCATACTGCCTGGTTGCCCGTCTGCAACAATGAGGGATAATATTTGATTGATCGTCTCTATTATCTTACGACATATGGTCTGAAATAATGCATTACACATGTATGTACATGCACTGGTAATTAAAATTTCCAAACTGCAAATATGAGTGACATCAAGCCTGGCACGAAAATATTTCTACAAATGAAGATCGGTGTAAACACGGACAATAAAACTAAGACAAGAATTTATTTGAAAGCAAGCTGAAGTGCACTTTATAATACTAGAATTCTCATGAAAAATACATTTTCAGTGTACATTGGAATAAAAGAATATCTGACTTACTCGTACATGATGAATTCTCTCAACAAATTAAATAAAGATATTTATGTCATAGTAAGATGTAGGGAACATATACATCATGACATATTTTTATCAACTTGATAAACACAGAGCGATTCTAAAGTGGAAATTCAACAAAAATAAGCAGTTTCTATTTAGTTTGAATATGACGGGATTATTGAAATGTGACCTAGGATTAAATACTAACATTTGCTGATTTGTTTTTAGGCATCAATTGTATGGCATGCAGGTATGAAATGATTTATATCATATCCATATGTTCTTTTGGTAATCCACCTGAAATTAAATAAAAAATAAAATTTATAAATGTAAAGTAGAAATATGCAGTCATTGTTTTATAAAAACATACAAAGATATCTAGGAAATGAAACGTAGCAAGTCGGTGAAAGAGAAATGGCAGAGGTTATGATCAGCACCAATGTATAGCATATTTAAAGTGGGGGAGTAGTCACCTGCGCATGCGTCAGATGGCCTGGGGTAGTTGTATACGCCAATGACATCTGAATATATCTATTTTACGGGCATCTAATAACCTTACATTTATTAATGAACCAACATATCCAGAATGTCCAGAAAGTTGTTCCCTGTGACCAACTTTTTTACATTGAATCAAATAACATTATAAAAATAATAGTATAACAAATCATACTTTTAATAAACTAACGCAATATTAATTAACCAAAATGTTATTATTAATATTATTATGATGGTAATATTTTGTGTTATATACAGCGGATTGTGTGACGCTGCGTATTTGTGCATCGATGACGTAATTCTCGTTGCGCAATCATATAATTACCTCACAGTCCCTCTTGGATAGAGTGACTGTGATTACCTAATCAAATTATTTAACCTCATGCTATCTGTTTAAAGCGAGGGAGTCATCACCTGCGCATGCCCCAGATGGCCATAGCGTGTCATTGCTTACAAACAAGCGTCTATCCATGAACCTTTGCGTACTTAGCGTGTGTTATCGTTGCTTGGGACTCAATTCCCGGATGTGCGCAGGTGACGACCCTCTCGCTTTAATAAAACTCCTTCTGAAGTTTTTGCTTATTTACTTAAACTGACTGAAAATGAGATAATTATTATGCAAATTAGCTACTTAAATATGCACAGACATGGCCCCATAACTAACAATGTCCGCGTATTACCCTAAGGTACCTACCTATTTAACTAAATTTGATCAAAATCCACTCAAAAAGTGAGATTTTGCTTACACAGATAGGCAGACAAACAGACAGACCAAACTCATTACCTCCCTTGTGAGCTTTGCATACACAAGAGCTAAACATTTATTTATTGGAATATCTATGAAAGATATATGACTAAAATATTTAAATTTTTGTTGATAAAAATGGTGATATCATAATTTGTTGGCCAAACTAGTCACATAACCTGTTTCCATAACTCTGATGGAAAGACGTACATGTACATACATGTACATACATACATTACAGTTGTCAATAAGATTCAGTTTCTCATCAACTGTTGTGTAGATAAAAATGCTACCTTTTGCATTGATGAATCAGAGTTAGCAGCATGTTGTCTTTCAATATTTTGCCAGTAGGTAATGAGCACGTACATACATTACAGCATGTATATTTAGTCTGTATGTAAGTGTAAACTTTGATGGAATAGCCCTTTTACTGTGGGGTTAATTAATTCAGCTTGCATGTGTGGGTTGGGTGTACATTCAAAACATTTTGTGGAAAAGAAAAAAAAAATCCATGTGATCTGCAATTTGCAAAACAAGCTGGTTTCGTTTCAGGTCAAAATACTTATTTTCCCATGTGTGTTTGCATTCGATCAGTCTGCTGTCTCTGAAATGATAAGAATGTGCTAGGGTGTTGTGAAATTGTGGTGCCTCTTAGTCCTAGGATATGGATACATAGTTTTGTTTTACAATATTAACTTGATTGTAATTGATAAGCAATACTGTGGAATACTTTATTATTTTCGCTGGAATTAATTTTTGCTGAAAAGGCTTTTTGGGTGTTTTGCTTGGAATTTATTTTCACTGGTTTTTGATGAGTTTAATGTGAAATATAGGAAAAAAAGTATACTCGCTGGATTATATTTTCACGAAATCATCCCTTCAGCGAAAATAAAGTCTTCTACAGTACTTCTTTAGGTATAGCAATGTTGTTAGCAAAACAACGATGTAAATTGCAACATTACCCAGTGGATTATTCTTGCATAAATCAAATTCCTAACTTTTCTTTGATTCAATGTTTTACAGTATAGATCAGAGGCTGTACATTTAGTGTGTATATTATGTAGAGAGTTGTTAACAATGAGAGATTTCACTTTAGTTCACTACATGTATATAGAACTGGTGATACATAAAACATTTCCTAGTAACTTCACGCATTAGACCAAAGACTAATAATTAGTGAGCTATATATAACTGTCCTCACCTGATATTTTAGTTTTTAACACCAACATAAGAAGTAGTCTTGCCAGTTTTCTGTATTGTTTGCAAGAGTTCATCAGAACTGAGGGTGGAATCAACGTAGACTTTCTGGGCATCCATATCGATTTGGAAATCAGTCACTCCTTTATCTGTGCACAATTTACAAAAACAAGGAAATGTGTTTATTTTTTTAACAACAACAATTTATTGACACAACACTATATATGGTTCATACAGCAGTATGGTCACTAAACAGAGCTATAACTATCAACTAATTTCAAAATAGAATATACATATACAAATCATGGTTATGTTCAGACTTGAAGGAATTACCCCTGTAGTAGAATTGTAATTTTAGCAATCAATGTAAAAATAACATTGTTTCAATCTAGCATAGTGATTACACAATACATACCAGGTTTAAGTTTATTCAGTACTCTTGTCACAGCACCAGAGCACCCTTCACAGGTCATTTCCACTTGAAATTCATGTTTCTGAAATGAACAGGAAGGAAATTTACTACATTTACTACACTTGATTTGAAATTACCTTGTCCAACATACAGTCTGTATTTGAAGATGTGTATTTTACATCATAAATTCAACTGGATGTGGCTTGAACTGTCGTCAGTAAGATCACAACATGGCCACTGGAGCACAATCCAAATCACAAACTTATAAGTCCTATAATGATTTGATAATGGAGCAACAATCACTTTGTTGGTCACTGTACATGTAGTTCAGTGGCCTCAATAAAGCACTGAACTTGGCAGACATGATACATTTGTATATCATATTTGCTCTATTAATAGTGCATGCGCTTATGTAATTAAATTAACGAGGTGTTTCTATGGACAAAAAAAAAAGATTTTAATGATTCAGTATACTACTACAAATACAATTTTGGGTTGCATGTGCTTATATTGGAGATGTGCTTTTAATGGAACAAATATGGTATGTGGGTTAGATAGTGTGATTTTACTTGGGTGTGCCTAACTTTGGGTTACTCAGTTCAAGGTCAGGTCAAACTCATATGATTTTCTGTCATAGATCAAACTTTTTGGCATATAATATACATTGTCTTGGTTTAGTTACACCATCATCAGTTATATTGAGTTTGGTAAAAAGTGAAAGTATAAAGTACTAGTAGTTATAATTATATTAACAAGTTTTAATTATTCTGTATGTGTGAATAATGTGTTTGCATATCTTTTGTATCCAACCACTGGGCATTAGAAGCAATATTATGGTGGCATACTGCAAAATACCTCATTTTAGCTGGAAATAAATTTCACTGAGAAGGCATTTTTGCTGTTTTATAGTTTTTTTTCAGTGTTTTTTTGTAAAAGATAGAAAAATATTCTTACGGGATTTTATTTTCACTGATTCATTCTAAGTGAAAATTAAGTTGTCATCAAAATTGCACATGTGCACTTAATACATTACTTCTTCTGCAGAATGAGCTGATCTCATATCTCTTTGTCATGAATAATTCCAGCCATGGCAAACTGTACACAATTTTGAGTGATTAAATACAAAATATTAATTTTATTATAAATTAAAATATTATATGTTGCATTCCTAAACTTACTAGTATATATTATGAAGTCTTGCAAGTATTGTTAAAAATGAAAAAAAAAGCATGAAACTGGTACCCAGGTGGAATTTGCAATTTGTTTTAAAATGATTAGTGATCAGGACAGGTCATTGCAGTTGTGTTGCATTATTGTATATTGAAATAACTATTTTTACTATTTCAAATCTCAATAACAGCTCATTATATAAACATAAAATTTAGTAATTGTCTAGCCACCAGTATGAAGATGAAAAACTGACATATTCATGTCTATGACTGACATATGTGTACCATATCTCACGTCATGGAAATGGTTACAACTCATCTAGTAATTTTCTAGTACCCGTACATATATTTATTTTATGCCCCCCTAATTTTAATGGAACATCCCCTTTTTCAGAACACATAGGGGAATTGTTAGGGTTAGGATTCATGCTATGGGTGCCCCCTTAATGAACTCGTTCAAAAATAAACAATGACCTTGATTTCATCTTGTCACCAAAAATGGGGCAAATCCAACTAAAATTATTTCTTTGGGCCTGTATAGCTTGTATTGCCAGTTTTGTGCTTTTCCGGCGGGCCACGATCTCGCCTGAATTTGACGCAAAGCCACTGGACTACCGCCGCCGGTCACAATCGGCCACGGACACATCCAACCGTAGTTTAGGATTCGGTTAGGATTATATAACCCCCGATGTACTATAAAATAAGAAAGGGTATGCAACTCATATATATGATCGCTGTAAACGAATATGACTGGTTTCTGACTAAAATCACCAAACACACCCACTTGATTATTACACTCATATTTATCCAATTACGTAGTGTTTTGTCAATTAAATGCTGAGAAAGTGGAGGTTTTTGAGCACGGGCACCGCCAACGGAAGTTTAGGGTCGGGTTAGGGTTATATAACCCCAGTATACTAAATGAAATATGTAGTATACTACATAGTGGGGTTCTCACCACCATAGCTAAATTTGTTAACCATAAACTGCTGTCGCAAGTGTCCGTGTGCGTTGCAGTGTCTGGGTCGGAATATTCTAATAACTTACCTGAGAAGCCATCGTGACGTAAGCGTGTTTAAACAGACTAGATTTGTGTGAAGGGAGTGAAACAGTGTTGTGTCTGGTCAAGTACAGCGCAGACAGATGAATGGGTTTCTTTTATCGGGTCTGGCCTTTTATGCAGTTGTCATTTGATATAGCACGTGACTTGTCCACGTGATTTTTTTCTAGCATCGGCCTCATTTAAATATGATCAGGTGATAGTTTTTTAAATGGCGGCAGTCGTCGTGCCGCGTCCTGTTCGATATGGGACTCATAGCGACTTATACAACGCGTGTAAAATCCTCGGGGCGGACATCCGGGCATTTTCTACCGCCTGGCAACCCTCGCGGTGAAAACAAAGACCAAAAACTCGCAGAAAACGGTACTTTGCGATGGTTGTTGAGAGTCCCCTGAACAGTGTAACAAGATTAGCCCTACGTGTGTAACATATATGAATTTGGTTGTTCAGGATTACTTCAAAGTTGAGTTTGTGTTGTTTTCTCGAGTTTTCACCGGCTCCACCGGCGTTCCACAGCAGCGCGCACAAAGCCTAGAAATACGTGGTACAGTGGTGCGCGTCTTAGCAACGTAGAACGTCCGTGACGTAGCTCCGCCCCCGAGGATACATTGTTTATTTACATGAAATTCGAACACGCGCTGCCCGACGACCACCGCGCTTTAAGTTTATTCGGTGTTTATTTTATCGAATTTTAATAACACATCGACAGGATACAAAACAACTCGGAATAAAATAGGACAGAAAGGCAAATTGACGACCAATGAAAATGTCACGTGAATTACACCACGACTTCCTCGGTAATCGATTTCTAAACGAAAATGCACCGTGCTGACTGATTGAGTGACTGCTAAAATATGCGAAAATCGGTGGCACACTGGGAGTAAACCCCTTCTCATACACACACAAAATGGAAATTAAAACAAGACGGTCATTCGAATATTTCCGTCCATATTTTTACAAGCGTGAAATGATAATACGCCAAATTTATACATTTTTCTATAAATTGTACTATCGGACTATACTAAATTCGATAACTAGAATTTGTTTTAAATGTTAACTGAACCTAGTTAAAACAAAAGTGTAAGTTGCCCGTAACTCGAATTTCTGTTAACTGTTGATTGAACATCGAGTTACAATCTGGGCGTGGCTTTACAAACGTGGACGTGGTTTCTAAACTACGGGCGTGGGTTTTTATCATAAAAAACAATGATAAAAAAACATTCCGACATTTTCTTGGATGGTTGACCCGTGATTTGTACTATCTATTTGTGTTTTGTGCGTTCATTCATTGTGTAGATTTCACTCAGTTTGAAAGCCAACAAATATGGCTGAAAACTTTGATTGAAAAAAAAATGGATTTAACCACTTTTTGTAGACTTGCATAAAGTCTCTTGCTTTTTGTTGTGCGTTTTTCAATAAAATAAGATATCATGGGAGTGTGTATCTGAACATATCTATTTTACGGGCGTCTAATAACCTTACATTTATTAATGAACCAACATATCATACCGGAATGATATGAAAATAATAGTATAACAAATTATACTTTTAACACACAAAAGCAATATTAATTAACCAAAATGTTATTATTAATATTATTATGATGGTAATATTTTTTTCTAAATAGCGGATTGTGTGCCGCTGCGTATTTGTGCATCGATGACGTAATTCTCGTTGCACAATCATATAATTACCTCATGGTCCCTCTGGGATAGAGGGACTGTGATTGCCTATTCAAAATAATTAACCTCATGTCATCTCAGATGGGTAATTCAAGGAAATACTCACTATTACGGGACGCCTGGTTGGCTGAAAATGAGTATGCGCACTTGATTTACCCAGAACTCTGCGCGAATCTCCCTTGATTCTGGCTGCTGGCCATTTTCGCTCATGAAATCGTCGGATATCATCAGAAAACGCGGGATTTGGGCAGTTTTGAATAAAACCAAGTTAGCGATTATGAACAATGGTTATTAACGTAATACCCCTTCCCCTCTAAACTTTTTGTTTCGCATTTTAAGGTAATTTATATACGTATAGCGGAAGATTTTTTTTTTAAAATTAGTATTTAATTAATTTTCAGCTCCCAAGTGACTGTGGGCGAGATCCCTGCATCTGTTTAAAGCGAGGGAGTCGTCACCTGCGCATGCGCCATATGGCCATAGCGTGTCATTGTTTAGAAACTAGCGTCTACCCATGAGCCTTTGCATTTTTAGCGCGTGTTGTTATCGTCGTTTGGGACTCAATTCCCGCGCGTGCGCAGGTGGCAGGTGCTTTAAAATTTACTGATATAAGACATCGCTTACTGCAAAGTGTTATTTAGTAAAATATTTAGATATCATCCTGCGTGTATAAGCAATTTATGCTATAGTACGTAGAAACTGAAATTGCCATCGTAACATTCACGGAATATTATTAATTTTCGCTTTAAAAAGCGAAATTTATACATTTAGTATTGAATATATATACCCGGTATATAGAACAAATCTTAAAATAGTTTTATGTTTCGAAAGGTGATTACTCAAGTTTTCTTTGCCGGGCAAACAACTCAAGTATGACGGTTTTCATGCCACACTGTCTGCATCTGTGAACCGGTTATCGAACAAAGTTTCGTCGTCAACACTGAACGGTTTCAACGGTGGGTCAGAATAGTTGTGGAGAGTAGGATGGGGTCGTCGAACGGGACTCAAGTAACGACGAACAAAAGTTGACAAAAGTCATGAGTAAGGTTGTGTTGAGAGCTGTTCAAATTTGTTGACCCAAGTCGCTGGATTTCTTTGGATATTTTTTGGATTATTTTGTCAATATTTTCCGCCTCTTCTCCTAGACGATAAATAATAACTGGTCCAAGACCGTTTTTTTTAAACAAATAAATACAATACAAATCAAGCGTGAACCCCTGGGGACACAAACTTCAAATTAACATAACAAACATGCTGAATAACGACGAAAATATACTGTTCCACAATAGGTATTTTACTATTTATTCATTCAGTGCATTCAAAACCAAAAATAGCTGCAATAGAGGTATCCATCAATTTTTCTCCGATTTTTAATTTTAATATTACATCATTAGTGTCAATTTGTGACGGCCATCGTCGAGATATGGGCATTGAAAGCATGGTATATACGCTATATGCTGACGTTGAACATTAAATCACTTGGGGAAAATGAAAAACTACAAGTATTTGGTCGCGGGTTTGCATCGGGTCTCTAGAGGGCGCCATCTATTGAAATCCACTGAAAAATGTATGTGTTATTTCCTCTAATAGTGTGTGTCGTACAGGTGTTTACGATTCTCATCACGTGACCGATATCAATGAAATCAACTGAATAAATGATTACGTTGACCCAGTGTAGGGTTACTTGCAATTGCAATGCGTCTAAAACAATATTTTGGTAAGATTAGGTAACCTTCTATGTGGTTATATTTATAACAAGCAAAAAATGCCCGAAATCACAGCTATTGTATCTTTAAATTGTATTTTTCTAAATAGAGGCAATATAGATTTGACGATTGAGCTGGCATAAAAAAACACATCACGGCATCACTCCTTGTCGTGGTGGACACCTGCAAAATAAAAAAAATAGAATATTGTAAATTAGTAGAGCCGTATAAACAAGTTGCTGGCATGCCAGTTGCCACCTGTTGCTACACAATGATACATTGTACTTTTAAATACGACCACGTGTTAAACACAACTTATTTCATTTGCATATAGGAATTGAACATTATTAATTAATTTAAATGAGACTTGAATAACACAGCACGAGCTCTGTAATAATTAAACTGAGTGTCAAATTAAACATATTGTTCGACGCTTTTGCCTCGCTTAATCTTATTAATGTCCCGGCCCACTACTGTAACTGTAACTAAACAAACATACCAGTACTGTTGCAATAACCATCTTATTTTACCTCCATGCAGTAACGTTCTTGGGGCCACATTGATATCCTTATGAGTTCAATAATTTCTAGCAGCATATCTCAAATTTGTCAACTTTGAGCTGTTAATAGTTTTTAGGCAAATCTAAGTTCCGTGAGTGTTGTGAGAAATACAAATATTCGATATAAGAAAAATAGTTGTACTCCAAAAACTAACCTGGTAAGATTTTAATCACTCTGGACAAGGGAACATTGCTTCCCCGTCTTCTTTATGATCGTCAACACTTCGTCTGATGGCAAAGACGAAGAGACAAGCACCTTCTGGTTTTCCATGTCAATCTTAACGCTCTCAACGCCTGAAAAAAATAACAGATATGAAATTACACAAATAACTATGGAATTGACGAACATTATTTGTGCATGAAGACTACTAGGTCAGAGACGTGCACAACAATTTTTAATGTTTTGTTTTTTTCTTTCCCTGTTCTGTTAAGTGAGATATTTGTTTTGATTATTTTGTATTTTGTTAAAAAAATGTTATTGTTTTCCCCA